CTCACAGAATAATGAGGCAGAGGCAGCTGGTGGTGTAGGGGTTGGGACTGTAGAAATAGCATATTATTTCCTATTTTTGTATTCTATAATTTAAATATAATTATGTTTAATTAATTATTTGATATAAAATTGTATAGTAAGCAAAAGAAAGCTATTCAAACTCTTGTAATGACTTGTAAGCATTATAAGCAGATATTATACTGTCACAAATTAATAAGTATGTCTGAACCTTGTAATTTAGGAAGTATATTATAATCACTTGTATAACTTGACAATTTATAAAATTATATTGGAAATTGCCAAGTTTTAAAAGTATTTTTTCTTGCTTATTTAACATTGTACTTTCCTTGCTTAACCCCCCAGGAAGATTATAAGTAATTGGACAAATTTTATAAAATATATAAAATATACAAGATTACAAGCAAGTATAATACTTAAGACTTTTTCGTGATGATAGTCACGTGCTTCCACTCTTTCGAGTCAATGGATTTAAAGTCGTGTTAAAACTTTCACACACGATACTCGAATGAGACGATTGGTTTGAAGGGGACAAGGCCCACAAGCGCTACAAGGCTAAGAAATCGACACACATGGGCCCCTTTCAGCATGCTGAGATCTCATATTCTGCTCGGGAAATTCAGTGACTGTCTTTAATGGTGAGAAATGCTAGAAGAGGATTGGTGTCTGAGTCAATAGCAAGCAAACCAAACCGAAGTGCAAATCGTAGACAAAGTTCATATTTATATTCATATTGCTCTTTTCATTCTCGTTGATGACCCTAATATTAAACCCATTTTCCTGTAGCCCCCCTACTGTCTGTACGGTGGACTTGGCTTTCCTCCAGCCTCGTTGCCATTCCTCGATCTCGGAGTCAGAGTTCTCTACAGTTTCTGGTGGTTCCAGTGAATGGTTAGTTCTATAGAAGCAATGTGGCTCTCGTTGATAATTGATCTTGCCTAGTTCCTTGGTTACATATCCCTAGCTTCTTAGTTTTTCTTTGACTGCCTCCTGCGAGTCAAATCGTTGTGTCATCATTTACTGTCTCGTGCTGCTTGAGTAGTTCTTTCAACTTTGGCAAACTAGTCAGCATGTCAAAGTGACACTACTACTGCTTATTTCCTTTCCTTTCTTTTTTTCTTCTTAAATGGTTTGAGGTTTTTAATAAAGGTTGAACTTTCTGGTGGAGGGACATAAAGAAACAAAGACTGACATTTACAAGGAAAAATATTGAGTTAGTGAATAATACCAAATCAGCTTTCATTTGGTTGGGTAAAAGAACAAAAACATAGAACTTCTAAGACATTAGAAACAGACAAGAAGGCTGGAGCAAAACAGAATACTGTCTATTGTTCAGATTGTCAGTTTATGAAACAGAAAAATAGTTCTGATCAATCCATGTATGACCACCGCAGGGCTCGAACCTGCAATCTCCTGATAAGCTACGAAATCGTAGTCAGACGCGATACCATTTCGCCAGGCGGCCTTAACAGTTAGAATTAATTTATGTATATAATAGTTGCTTTTTTTTTTTGACTATATGCATGAACAATTCTGTCACCAGTGTATTGGAATTTGATAATCTTCGTCCTAACAATAAACCAAAAAATTACTAGAATGGCATCAATACTATGTAGACTGTACTTTCATAAATTATCTTGTAAAATATTATTAATATGTTTATACAAATGAATTACTCTTTCTTTTAAGTTCTACAGTCTATTAGGTAACATAACTACACTACAGAGAGTAACCCTATTATAGAACTTGCTTTGAATGGATCCATGTAATGGTTCTGCTACTGTCTGTTAGAATGTAAGAAATTGTAAATAAAAATTTCTGTAAGACTTAGTATCTGTGTCAAACTCAGTTTTGACTTTTAACAGTATGTCTTTGCAAAAATAAAAAATAAAAAATACTATACCTCAACAAGCTGTTCAAGCCAAGAAAGTTAATTCCCGACACTAGGTCCGACCTCTGAGCAAACATTTCCAGACAAGCAGAATGAATTGGTGACTCAGAGAGCACTGCTTTGTTCCCTAATATTAATACTAATACCTTGTCATGGCATGGACTTGAGGTATCATCGGATTCGCGATTTCCATGGCTATGGCGCATAGTAACTTGTAATAAGTAATAATGATGCAGATCCGGATCGCTCTGACGTCGGGGAGAAGGGGTATCAGACACTAAGTTACTATCCAACAATAATTAAGGAAATTTTGACTACATCGAAATGGAAGCAGCCACGGTTAAGAGTAGGTGAGTGCGAGGAGAAAGGGGCCGGAGTCCCGAATCCCGACCAATGTCCATCAAAAGTATGGCCTAACTGTCAGCGAGCTCAGCGATTTGTTATTTTATTTGTATTTGCTCTTGAATTACCCTTTTTGGGTACCCGCTGAACTCCGAAGCGTAGATCTCGTGGCTCACTTTAGCACCGGCTTGAGCCTCTCTTGATCCTTGACCTACTGTTCCCTTTATCTGCATTCACATTTAATACTTACCAAACTTCGCCAGAGGCTCAGGAGCAGGTAGGGATAAAGGGGAACCTTAGATGGGTAAGAAAGTGACACTAATCCCTCAGAAACACGCACCAATTTCCCGATACCTGAAAGGCCAGCTCAATCGCCTACAACGCTCACCTTACACATGCCAGGATGTTGAGAATATCAAATTCCTGGGGGATCGGATCAAACACCAACGTGGTTTTGCACTTCTCGTGGCACTGCTCAGCATACACACTATATACAGCATTTATCATCGGTGAACGGGAAACAGTTCACCGAGCCACGTCCCCGAGAGGCCCGGCTGCCCGTCGAACTTGGTGGGTCCTTATAACCACTTCCTACCCATAACACGTTGTTTGCTATACGATCCCCCTCACTGTCAGGATCAGTTGGTGCGCAACACCGAATTTCTTATTCTCTGGCTTTAGAAATATTTCTGAACGAGCGCTACGCTAACACGTTCTTTGACTCGTAAACAGAATTCGCCTCTGCTGGAGTCACTAATTGAAAATGATCGCATTTAAGGTAACACCGATCTACAGGCGCTCAAGAATGTCCTGCGCAGCCCTGCCGAGTCACCGACTTTCAATGCCAATACCTACAGTCACCTACACGACCCTCTTGATTGTAAATCATGCCCATAGATGTTCAAGGATATCAGATCTCCAGCAGTAACGTGAGTGAAATATTCCCCGATTTCTCGGTATTCTATGGACATTAACACGGTGATACATTACTAGGACGGCATTCGGGGTTTATTAATTACTCGGAACGGTGATTAGATAGGCTTTTCTGCCTTTTAAGCTCTTCTTTCGAGGCGTCCCTGTCGCCTTCGAAAAACGGCATTTATCTGGGACCGGGGGAACAGGCTTCCTCGACCGACGGCTTAGTGTAGTCCGACAAACATCTTGCCTTGCATCATGGAAACAGCAATGACGATGCAGTTCAGCATCTCTGCAGAGAGGCCATGGGGGACGACTTTCAGCTCAACTCCGTAGCTATTATAGACAAAACCCAGGATCTGGGCCATGTTGTTTGCGGGATGGATCTGAAGTGAGTTACAACGAGCATTAGACAATTTCAATTCTACGCAAATCGCCCCACACTCACGTAGAAACCTTTCTCATCGTACGTCCATGCGTACTCGCGTCCATCAACGTTCATGAGTTTGATTCTACAAAATACAATCTCAGTTCTTTTTCGTGCACACCGCCGCGTGGATGGGACAGCGCCTCACCTTCGTCCTTGTGCATCGCGGGCCTCGCGCAGGAACTCCGAGGCACGAAGTACTCTTCCACCGCGTTCAGCCGTAGGTTCAAGGCCTGTCCAGCAGATCGTGGCCAGGGTGCCTTGCGGAACTGAGATGACCGAATGGGTGGCGGTTGTTCGGATGCGGTAGCATGCTCGATAGTTCGGGCCCACGAACGCCAGGTTAGTCTGGTTGCCCGACGCCATGAAGCGGAAGGTGATCGGCGCACCCAGGAGACCCGGGGGAAGGGCACCTGGTGTTGCGGCGAGAGGGAGCACCCCGTACGCTGTCTGGGCGGGCACCCAGCTTGCTGAGCGTGGTGAACCTGGAACAAAAGAGCCATCGTTGGGCCATGAGTTCTCAGCATCCCAACCACCTTGGATGTACGGATTGCTGTGGGTGAGCGATGGGTTTGACATGCTGGAAGTACGGTATGAGATCGAGTGTGCCAAAGAGTAACCGCGGGTTAGCTCGAGCTGAGAGATCGATAAGTTGCTGTTGGTACATTAGGAGCTGCTTTTTGCCACCTTTTTATACTCGTTCAATCCGTCTCATGTTAACGTTCTCTGAGATGGAGTTGAAAGAAGAGATTTGCAAACGATTGTGCAGACCGTAGAGCTAGAGATTGTGATGACTAGCAGAAAGCAGTAAAACAAGCAGACTCCCGCGATGCGATCGTAAATCCGGACCTCATTTAGTTGTCAGAGGGCTAAAATCGGCGAACGGAGGACAGGGTTGGTCCTGATGCCACTGCCATAGAGCTCATGCGAGCGTCTATTAGAACCTTGTCGATAGCTAATCGGGAGACTTTGACATCCGTATTGCAATATCTAATTTTTCCAGATATAGAGAAACAGGTTGTTCCAACATGGATATTGGGATCCATCCTACACGCGTGTGACAAATATTGAATAGGCCTGCAAATCTTTAGAATCTTCGATAACTTCCGAGTTGCCAGGCCTGCCACTATTTTTCACAATCGAGTCACCTTGTACTATAGAAAGTGTAGATGAAAGCCTTTGTGTGTCTTCGGCGACGTATGCCTCGAGAGTGTCCTTGGCGCCGTTTGGTAGTGGAGTTAGTGTCTACTGCCAGCCGAATGGCACGACAAATACTTAGCCGCGGGCGAACTTACAAATCAAATCCATTCCTTTGACGGAAACACCTTGAGCACATAACCCCGGTCATTGATAGGGATTTCCAAATCAGTTTCAAATTATAGAGCCAAAGGAATTTGTACCTGCAATGAAAAGACGGCTTTGCGTGGACAAATTTCAAGGTCGTAATCCGGAACTGAGACTGGAGTCCATAGGGTGAAATCCGCCCCTCAGCATACACACCAGTTAATCGCGATCAAGGGTGCTACTAACCGTACTGTGCTTAAACGTGCAAGGCCCTATCGGCGTCGTTCACAATCTAAGTCTCAACCCAACATGGTTCGATAGGTCGATCGAGCTCAATAAGTAGTAGGTATTTGAGGCCCGCCATGACCAGTGGACATGTTTCGCTGTAAAGGGGATGAAACACAAGGGGGTTTCAGCATGGTAACATAGCAAATTGAGGCATATCCCCTGGAAGCATCGGCATCAACGGAAATACCAGAGAAGGCAGCGATTGACAACCACATAGCATATATGTCAATTCGTTGAGATCGGCTCTCCATTGAGATACGCTCATATTCATGATTCACGGACGCGCTCGTGCGCCGACGAAGAAGCATATAAAATAAAATACGGACCTGGTGTTGGCGGAACTCGAATTTATACGCTATTATGCCGCGTCATTATCATTCAAAAGTGAGTATAAATTGCAGCTCAGAAGCCCGCTTGCACGTAAAGAAGTCAACGGAGTTCCTACGCTGGATGCTGCTGAATAGATGACTCTTACCAAAAGGAACATGTTAAGCAGCTTGACGTACTTTCGTCTCTCCACCTCGACCAATTGCACGAACTAAACATAGAGAAACAACCACCCGAGCGAGGTACGCCGTCGACCCTAGATTCTAGCGTCTAATTTCGCTGGAATAATGAAGCAATCGTATGGGGATTATGATCATACTGGTAAAACGGTAAATAACAAAGACGACGGCACAGGGAAAGTATACACAGAGACCACAGTCGAAGTCATAAGTCCTCGGTACAGTCATTCCTAGCAAACGAGTTGCTTACCTGACGCAGCGATCCTCAAGGACTGGGACACAGAATCAACCACTCCGAGATCGCCGCCGAATGATCCAACTTGTTGAGACTGTAATAGCGGTTGCAGCAGAGCGGTGCGGGGTCAATATTGAGTACAGTTCTTGTATGAATGCACTTGCTCCAGGACGAGGCAGGATACCAGCCTTAATGCTACCCAAGGGCACACATGTAGTAGTAGTAGTTATAATAACTTCCTTTGGTGTACTTCTTGATGACCAGATGGTCACTCTGGCCAGTTTGTTCTGTCCATTCGCATCCTGCTTACCGGGAAGAATCTAGTCATGCTTAACGCCATGGCGCACGTCAATACGAGACGATAAGAAGCATCTAGAAATTACCGACGTAGGGTCGTCGGTTGCAGACAAAACAGCCGTGGTAGTTGACGTCCATGAAAGCATCGCCCTGAGTCGACTAATGATGAAAACCGGAGTAGAATCCAAGATGTATTTCCTGTGTTTTTCCGTCATCGCGTACTTGACAACCAAGAGTAAATTTTGTGAATGCCGCTGAACTCTAGAGAGCCACAATGCCTGAGCCTGACAAGCATGGCCTGTAAACAGTGCATCGGCAGACAGGGACGATGAGAGGGCATAGATTACTCTGCGTTCCTTACCATAGCAGTATAATAGCCAACCACGCATCAATAAAAGTAAAAATCCGTGCCACACGCGGTTGTCGGTCTTTCCGGAGACGTTGAAGCTTTCAGAAATAACTCGAGCAAAATATAGTTCAGGACGACGCTATCAATCTCATATACTCTAGCGCTGGTGAAGGTATGCAACATGAAACAGTAGGCGAGTCAGATATGAGTGCTCAGCAGTGAGTACATATGAGTCGGAGTCAAGAGTGAAGAGTCTGAAGACGCGTTCTAGCTGAATAAAATCGCGTTGAGGATAGAATATATTGCACGTGACCCGTGATTAACTGGGATACCGAATGCGAAATGGGCCCGCTGAGTCATCGCTTAACTTATCTCCTAACCATCCCCATCTGTGCCGCAGTGCTCACGAGGGCAGTCGGTCGGTCGAGCAGGAACGAGGTCGAGGGAAGAGCGTGCGAGGTCTGAACACGTTGTCGTCCGGAACAGGGTCCTACGAAGAGAAGCCGACTAAAGAAGAAAAAAAGAAAAAGAGAAAAGAGTACAGTCGCAGTCATGTCGTCCTTTGCTGGTGGTTCGCGGAGGAACTGCTTCAAGTGCGGAAATTGTGCGTATGCATCAACATTATAGCGGTCCGAACAGTGCTTAAGAAGCCCGCTCTTGGTTATTGTCATAGTGGGGCATTTTGCTGATGCTTGTACCTCGGACGAGCGCCTGTGCTACAACTGTCGTCAGCCTGGTCACGAGGCATCGGCCTGCCCAGAAGAACGGACAGTCGAGAAGAAGCAATGCTATTATTGCAGAGGAGTCGGTCACATCCAGGCTGACTGCCCAACCTTGAAGATTCAGGGCAACAAATGTTATGTTCGTACCCTCGGCAAATTTAATCACTATGCAAGTTACTTATATGCGTACTTTTTTCCTCTTTATATTACGTCAGAACTGTGGTCTAAGCGGCCATTACGCCCGCGACTGCACAAAGCCTCCTGGTGGAAGATATGGCTCGCGTGCACCTGTCGCTGGTCGTGCGTTGAACGCCTCGTCTCTCCCCCAGGCGAAAAAATGCTACAAGTGCGGCGGAGTAAACCATATATCAAAGTCAGTGCATGGATCATTGCCACCGGATCAAATTTTGATGTCAAATCAAGCAACTGCCTTGCCCCGCCGGGCACAACCGTCACCGACCAAGTTATCGTGACATCCGGTCCGCCTGCGGGTTCGAATGCTCCGAAGAGTTGCTATAAGTGCCATGAAACTGGCCATGTACGTGCCTTTTTTTTAATAAAAAAAATGTGAAAGGCAAGATGCTCACGGCGCGATACAGCTTATGAAAGATTGTCCGCAGAATGTGGACGTCGCGGTCTGATTTTTTGTACATTTCTGATGTGTTTCTGATGTCGTGGTGCGGAATGATTGCATTCAATCACATCTCCATAAATGCATCACTATGCTTACCTGATCTGATTTACGTTTGACTTGCTAAATCGTTTGAAGATTCCACACTGCCTTCCCCTTTGTATGAGTTACGTTGATCGTGTGATTTAATATCATTTATTTGCTGGCCTGCGCTGCTTCTTCGTGTTTCTGTTGTGTGCATGACCCCAATATGTTATAGGATAGGGATAAATGCCTAAGGAAGCTCTCAACTCATGTTCTCGTGACAACACAAAAAATGGAATACTTGGGGAACGAGCTAATAAAATACCATTCTACTGTGCAAAACTATGATTCGTCTAGCATACTGTATCTATGTGAATTGCCAGTACACATTACCCTCCGTCCTACCGAGCGTCTCCCACCAGACCAAACGGTCGTGACCTACTCATCACGAATATAAATGAAAATTCCCGCAGCCTTCCGCGCACGGTTCATAAACGCCAGACCCTCTCGTTCCTCAGAGATCTCCTCAACAAGGATGATATCAGCACCATTCTTCTCAAGAGTCAGCAACCCATCAAATAAGCGAGCAGCACTCGTTGCTGGGTCCGACCTTGAGCCAAGTGGGAAATGTTCGATCGTGAAACAATCTGCGGAATGAGGTTTGTGCTGCAGGAGAGGTGAATCCGAAGGCGCAAGTAAGCCGACTTTGAGTGAACCGGAGTGGTGATTATTTTGTCGTGATTCGATAAGAGAGGTGAGTGCAGTAGAGTAAGAGATGGTCGGGTCGGAATTTGGAGGTTTCGAGATGGCCATGAGTAATGCCACCGGAATAGATGGGGAGTAATGTCGATATTTCATCCCTGGTGTGGTTGGTGCGTTCTCCATCTCCTTATCCTCGTAATCACGTCGGTGAACCAGGACCTTTGGTCGCTTCCCATTCGGCATATCCATACTCTCCACAACGTGCTCTAAGTCTTCAACAGTGACACCACCGGGTCGCAACACGCGCAAATTCCCGTCATCTCCGAGTCCATCAACAACGGTGCTTTCTACTCCAACAGGACAGGCTCCACCATCCAGAACGAGCCGAAGTCGACCAGTAGCACCGAGGTCATTTATAACGTGTTCTGCACGCGTTGCACTCGGCTTTCCGGAAACGTTTGCACTGGGCGCTGCGAGTGGGACTCCTGCCATCGCCACAACTGCCCGAGCGACGGGATGTGAAGGCATACGGACTGCTACGCTGGGGTGACCTGCAGTTACTGCCGGCGGAACAATTTTGGAATCCGCCGGAAACAGCAGAGTTAGTGGACCGGGCCAGAAAGCCTTCACTAGAGCCTGATAAACGGGTGAAAGTTTATAATCTTGAGGAAGGAGTCGACGAAGCATCGGGAGTGAAGAGATGTGCACGATGAGCGGGTTGTCCTGCGGTCGACCTTTCGTGGAGAAGATGCGCGATACTGCAGTAGACGAAAGCGCGTTTGCGCCAAGTCCGTACACCGTTTCTGTCGGAAACGCGACGACATCTTCAATGTCCACTAAACGGTGCGCAGCGTGCTTGAGTGCATCAAGCGTCCGTTCCGAAGATACTTTGGGCAGGTCGGATGACTCTAGGGATGAAGAGAACGATATTGAAGATGGATCGCAGTCTAGGACCTGTAATGTCGGTGGAGGAGACATAGTGGGCTGCCTTAGAAATACAGATTGTCGGGTAGTTGTTTTGAAGAAAGTGTACAAGTTTCGAGGACTAAGGTTCTTGAGCAGTATGTTCATTCGATGGGCATGATAAATTGATTTGGTATGATAGGAAGACTCAGTAACTTTCCAATAGAGAGAGCCATTAATATCAGGTTGTACGCATTTTTATCCGTGCTTTGAGTGCAGAAGGAAGATGAGTGACTCGGTACAAGTTGTGGTCTGTGTCGATCGATCGATGTTCCCAATCAAATTTTTGCCGATCTCCAAAAACGGCAGCTCTCGTACCAAGCGAGCACGTACGAAATTTCTAGACAACTTCTCGTTCCTCACTCATCATTGGGTCCGTTCATGGCAAAGAAAAGCAAGGCATTAATCGGGGAAGACATAAGCGCGGATGATCTGCTCCGGCGCCTCGAAAACTCGGGTCCTCAACGCAAGAGACGCAAACTGCAGGCCGAAATAACAGATGAAGAAGACAATGAGTTGTTTTCGGGATTCGATGGCAATGAAGAGGGCAGCGAGGAGGAAACGGAGCATTCTCATGGGAACGAAATAACTGGTGATGACTCTAGTGATGCGAAGGACAAGACACCAGAAGGTCATGGAGATGAGGAAGATGAAGAAGACTCCACAGCAGCAGCTCACTTAGTTACTGACAGGCCAGCTGCACAGGACTCGTCTCGAATATCTCTACAGTCAAAGCCTCGAATACCGGAAAAGAAACCAACATTACCTAGATTCTCTGCACCGGGGTCAACAGCGTCATTTGCAGATCTTGGTGCTTCCAAGGCACTCGTTGCGTCGCTTGCAAGCATGTCGATTCGTTCCCCGACTGAAGTGCAAGCGGCGTGTATTCCTCCCCTATTAGCTGGTGAGCTCGGTTGACTTGTAATACATACATGTTCAGGTCTGATTAGCTTGGTTTAATCAAGGTATGGACTGTGTTGGTAATGCGCAGACGGGTTCAGGGAAAACTATCGCGTTCGCATTACCTATCCTACAGAAGCTATCTTTCGATCCCTATGGAATTTATGCACTGGTTCTAACACCTACACGGTAAAATCTCCTTTATTTAGAGTCAACAGTGGAGTCTGAATAGTGCCTTGTTCAGAGAGCTTGCATTCCAGATTTCGGAACAATTTGCTGTCCTTGGTGCTCCCCTCAATATCCAAACGGCTGTGATTGTCGGTGGCATGGATACGATAGCGCAAGCACTTGAGCTAAACAATCGTCCACACGTTGTCGTTGCAACTCCTGGGCGAATCGTTGATCATCTCAAGAGCTCCAGTGGTGAATGGGATTTATCGCGTGTTAAATTCCTGGTGAGCCGATTTCGCGAGGGCGTCTAACAGTCATGTCCCTGAAGTTATATCTCTGAACAGGTGCTTGATGAAGCCGATCGACTGCTTACCCCGACCTTTGCCCCGGAATTGGAATATCTATTCAAGATTCTTCCAAGAGAGAGACAGACCTGCCTTTTCACAGCAACAATGACAGAGTCCATAGAAACCCTGATCACGGCTCCTCCCCGACCAGGGAAACGGAAGCCGTTCGTACATCGGATGACTGCCAAGTTCGTGATTCTCAATTATTGCTTGCCTTTACTTCTCTAATTGACAAATGAATGTGATACAGGGTAGAAACGGTAGAAACACTCGAGCAATTCTACCTCCTGGTTCCATCACACGTCCGAGAGCCCTACTTATTCCATCTCCTCTGTAATCCTCCAGAGAGCATCGTTCATATGCGATGCACACCTCCGGAACCCGTGAAACCGTCCAAAAAAGCTAAATCCAAGTCTTCTTCCAAGACCCGTAAAGCCGAAGACCCGGATGCAATAGAACAACCCCCTCCGACGATGATATTCTGTGCACGGGCGCGAACAGCTGCATATCTCGCAACGCTACTACAAACACTTGGTATTCGAAGTACTGCATTGCATTCCCGCCTCACGCAACGAGCGCGTCTGACTGCACTCGGTTTATTCCGCGCACGCGTTGTACCAGTACTCGTATGTACAGATGTCGGTGCACGTGGACTGGACGTCGACGACGTCGCACTGGTCGTGAACTGGGATATGCCACAAGAGCCCGAAGAATACACACATCGCGTCGGCCGAACAGCACGGCGCGGGCGGACCGGTCTCGCCATGAGCTTCGTAACGGAGCGGGACGAACAACGTGTGATTCGGATAGAGGAACGTATTAGTAAGCACGAGGTTCTTCCCTTGCAACGTCACCCGTTACTCATCCTTCCCTTCCTTGATTGGAACATCATTGGATAGAGACGAATCTGCAGGAAATGACTCTGCCGGAAGGGAAAGTGCTCGAAAAGTTGAATGCTGTCTCCACCGCTAAGCGGCTTGCGAACATGGTGCGTCCTCTCCATTCAACCATCTCCACAACCCCACATCTGCTCCAAATGCACCCATCGGCACACCATGACCCCGGTTCTCGACTGTCTTTGCACAGCTCGAAAAGAAAAACAACTTCCAAGCACGACAAGATCCAGCCGCGAGTCGTTTATCCTTCCATCAATCATCTTCTAGCCTATTCATTTGACTGATTTCTCTGCTCCACTTTTCTTATCTCTTGCGTGTTGTTTTCAGGAACTGCATGATTCAGACTTCGGGAAGCGGGAGGAGATCCACAAGATTAAGCAGGCAAAAAGGGAGCGTGTCAGTACGCTAAGGTCCTCCAGCTGATTAGTATCACACGGGGCGAAACAGTATAAAGTATCCGAGATCAATTCCGAGGCTAACTACTGCACAATATGTACTACCGGCCCAACTCAAGACCGACGATATAGACTTGGTATAATTGCAGTCCAGACTTTGTCGCAAACAGCCGCGCTTATATGCTGTGCTTGCCGACTGAATCCGTATAACCTACACCACACTTACAATGTAATTGTAAATGATGGATCAGCATAGGCGTCTTCAATTCATTGGCAAGAGCACTTGCAGGACGGCACAAAGATTTTGGGGTGTCTCGGCAAAGTAGTATGTACCTTAAATATTACCAAAAGTGGATGAGATTCCTGCAAGTGTTTGCAGGTGCTCGAACCCACTTGTTGGCACTAGCCCATCTCAATTCTCTTGCGAGTTGTGAGTTGTGCACAGCATGTAAGGAATATGCCAAAAATGCCGAAGTGCCGAGATGAGAATCGGGTGGTTAAGATGGGGATCGGGTTGTGTGCTTGCCTAAAGTAGTAGTCAAACGCGCAACAACTCGCAAGCACTCTGGAGTGCTTGCGAGTTGTCGGACTTTGAAATTAAATGATGTTTCTTGTATCCCTTACTCGTTTGTCCACTCAAATCACAAGAAATCTGATCGACATAAAATTCACAAGTCAATCATCTCAATTCTCCCTAGTTGTGAGGAAACTCGGCATCAACCTTACCAGGGTCCTCTACAAAGCCGAGCTTCCTTGCAACTTGCAACTCGCAACAGAATTGAGATGGGCTACTTGCAGACACTTCGGAGTTTGAAATGAAGTTGATGTTTGACTACAACCTAACAAAAATTACAAGTAACATGACATAGACTGTAAATTGTTGATCTCTGCAAGTCCTCACTTCAATTTTGAGGGACTTGTACTGTACACAGTTCGGATGCTGATCTCTTTCTGCAACCCCTCTGCCAATGAATTGAAGACGCCTACTCAATCGTTCTCCACCCGTTAACTTCTTTCCGATAGCCTCACATCCGTTCTTAACCTAGTCCAAGAGGGGGAAGTATATGCCTCTGGTGGGATCTGCCTATACATTTATCGGTAGTCGGGACTCGGATAGATAGACAACTCTAGACCACGAACTACCTTCTCTCTAGATGAACGGCCCAAGTTCACCGTTCCATTCAAGGTTTTCCGGGGTCCCTGCCGTTACTCGTACTTGTGTACCGGTGCTTGTGGTAACAGTATTACACCAGGGTAATGACCTCGGGTATAGTAATAACGGAAAGTCCGGTGTTGCCAAGTAGTGTTGATGGCGTCAGTATACACTCATCCATCATACAATTTATGACTCATCTCTTAATTAGTATATCTTCTTGCTGTAACAAACTCCTGTATAGAAAATAGGTAGCAATCATAATCTCAAATGTAACCTGTACTACCTTAATCAAAGCCACTATTTCTATCTGCCATTCCATCATAATGTCTACACATGTTAGTTAATTTCGGACATAAAATATCAAAGAAGCGAACAAACATAGATACGTCCGCTTTCTCCGATAGGGACGAGATACCAGGTGGTGCAATTACGGAAGTAAACAAGCGCCTGTCAACTGGAACTCTCCATATGTATGACCACTTTCCACATATATGACTACGATCGTATATATTGCATTTCGTGTGTAATCTACCTAAAGCCGTAACATTAACAAAAGCAGCGTTTCGTAACGTGTATCTAACGAATGGGAATGAAGCGATTGAACGATTGGGTAGGAAACGGAGCAAAGGGGTATTAATGGCAGCAAATGAGGAGACAGGGAAGCCAAGCCCAAGAATATACATTGATACAGAAGACTAATCTGCAATAGTCATTGGTTATCTATCAAAAGAGTACGGGGAGATTGTACTCGGATGAATTGAATGCATGTTGAAAGAAAACGAATAAAAAAAGTGGTAAGTGCATGCGTGTATGGCTAGTACAGTGTGTTGGTTTGACTTGATGAAGGAGTACAGAGAAAGATGAATAAAGAAACCGTGAAGCCCAGCATCGGAAGAAATACAGCAGGCATTCAACATGCAGCGGAGAAGGAAACAAAGTGTCGGAACGGAGAAAAAATGATTGGAGCAGGTCCCGACGAAACAGTCGCTACGCGGAGAATGCGTCAATGCCCGGTAATTCAGGGTGAATGACCAGATTCGTCATCACGTATGACAACCGCGACAGTATAGGAGGACAAGGCATACGTGAATACTAATACAGGAGGACGTTCGCAGGGAAGACAGTGATGCAGATTACTTCGGATGGGTTCCGATGATTTCCCGTGAGATTTTGAAGGGATACGATGACTGAAGGGATACGATGACGGAAGGGAAAAACGACCTCGACAACATGTCAATTATATAGTACGCTAGATGAATGATGCGTGAGTCATCAAACCGATATTCACAAAAATAGATGAATGAATACCTTAACCATAGACCACTGCACCACCACCTCTCGAATTCGTGCCAGGAGGGTTGATCGGCACTGGTCACAGGTGAGATGATCAGCGAGTGGGTGGAGCGTTGCTTCGATGGTACTGGCGCTGAGATCCGGGCGTACTGACCAAGTGAGGTACGCAGTCGCCAGAGACCAAGCACGTGTAATCGCTTTCTGTTCGGTGAAGTCACAGGTCTGCGTTGGTGCGTGCGGTGGCGGTGAGACGACAAGCAACCGCTTCAACTAGAGATACGGTAAAATGAATCCCATATCAGTACGGAATCGCAACCGGATATTTGATAAGCTCTCGGAGCACAAGAACGGAATTACGTACAGCATCTATACGTCCGAGGTGCAGGAAGAAAAGTTTCTTCAGGTAGACAGGGCCGATCCTTACCGCCATCTCATCGGTTAACGTAGGTAGCTGGAATGAAAGAAGGTGCGAAGAGGTCGTGACTGCAAGGTCCAGCAAATCATGGGACGCAGCAAGTGCGTATACTTCCAGTGGATTGGTAGGCGCATAGGCAAGAAGTGCTTGAGACAAAGGAGTTCCGGCCGCGATATATTTTTTTAGAGGAATACCGTAGGTTTTGCATGCGGTCACTGCAGCCGACAGATCTGCTAGAGACGGATAGTAATGTGCGCAAGACATGTCATAGATCGTATGCAGCAGAATGTTTAGAACGGCGGAAGTTTCCGGTAGACTGAGAATGGGGTCGGAATCATTCTCACGCGCAATCGGGAGGTGACTATTAAAACCGTTGCGGGACGCAGATATCAAGAGGTTCGAGTTAACGTAGAAGAATACAGAATCGGACGCGAGAATAATGAGAACGTTTGCATCGTCGCCTTCGGACTGTGGGTAAAAGGTGGTCGAGACAGATATGCAGGTACCCCTTTCGCTGTTATTGTCGACAGGAGAACCCATTTGTGAATCCTGTTTGAAAGAAACAGGACAGTCTCGTCAGCAATAATATTCAGGTATTAATAGATGCAAATGAAATTCGAAAGCAGCTGTTCAAATTTGCCAGAGGAGCGTTTGAACAAAACAAAGGCACATCGAAAGTAAAATAGATTATGGGGTTGGGAGGGGAAAAGCTCATCTTCAACAAAAAAACAATGCCACTTACAGGAGGGGTTAGGACGGCTGACGGCGAGAAGCCTCGATCAGACTTGCTGCTCTCGGTTGACGAACCTGACAAGTCAAAGTCCAAACCGGGAAGCTTGTCGTCAACATTCATTGCCTTGTCCCACTCGCTTGAAATATCATTGAAACCCAGAGCGAGCACATCATCCATAGGTGAGGTCGAAGAGTGCGGGGAGGAATAAGACAGCGTTTCAAACACCGAAAATGGTTCCGCGGCTCCTGAGCGGCGAGTAATTTGCAAAGTGCAGGAAGAGAGGGAACGACGGGAGAAGAGGGCTATATACTAAGTGAGCATCCCGACATCCACGTATGCGATGCGGGGCACGTACCTTGGGAGGTGATGATAGTTTGAAGTGAGGAGTGGTCTGTTGAGTGGGGACGCGCTAATTCTCCGCGCGTCTCTATATGTCCTGCATTTGATTGCCATATCCGGAAGTGCCCTTCTGGCACCCTCTCGTCGGACCTGACCTCATCTCACAATTCTCACATCTTCATATGGCATCTATGCCGGCATTTTCCAACAGTCGTGTACACCAGGGCGTTATTTTGTGGAGCCACTCCAACTTCGTTCAATTCTACTGATTTGATTCTATTAAGGCTAAGGTTTGGCATCTACTGTATCACCAGGATATCGAAATGCAATGTCCTCCAATGGAAACCCAA